CTTTAAATCATCCTGAGGTTACTTAGAATACCCAATACTATGTGAATGCTATGTCACTGTTGCATGGCTCTGTTTAGGGAACAATGACATGCACAAAAGACTCTACATATTCAAAATAGGTGCTGGCATTTCCTAGAATATTCATAAGTCCCGGTTGTTCGAATTTGATGATGCAGAGCCTCTTAGAGTTCACATGTGCAAAAGGCTGACGCTACTTATATCTGCTATTGTGGTTTTAGGCAACTCTAGCAGATGAGGAGGAGCAGGGGGAAGGAGGAGAACTAGGAACAGGATAGAAAGGAATGGGGAAGTGGTCTTACTTTTTGAATAGCTTTGTCTTTCTGTATCACTTACATTTTGCATATTCAAAACATTACTTTTCAAACAACAGATACAAATCAACAATCCTGGTATTTTTAAAGGGAAATTGAAGCTTGTCTACATCATCATGGTCAGTGAAGAATCTAAAAGGAGGCATAGCTTTGGGCTGGGGTGTAGCTGGGTGGTAGAGTGTGTGCTGAGCATATGCAAGTCTCTGAGTTCCATTCCTAGTACCCTCCCTCAACTAAGATGATGATGATGATAATGAAATATATATGTAAATATATATATATATATATCTTTAAGTCTGCTACCAGTGAATCAACTAAGAACAACATTACCATTGTATATCACAGTGTTATCTAAAGATGATTTAAAACATACAGATTGTACATAGGTTACAAATACTCTATTGTTTTCTATAAAGTACTTATACATCCAAGGACAGAATTTTGTAGATACTGAGGTTTTTGTTTTTTAATCTGCTCTTAAACTGAACTCTACACAATCTAGAAACAAACAGTTTTCTCATTCATAGAGATCCTTGAGAATAGAAATACAACTGTGTTATCCCTATAGAGAACAGGGCTATAAGACATCAGGAGTTGGATCTAGGTGAAGCAGTGGCTTGCCTCTGAACATTGAGCTTTACATTCTGCCTCTCTTCCTTCCTTAGACCTCCGCCTTCAATTTCTTGTTTCTATGCCTGATTACTTCTGCTAAGCCAGAAAAGCAGAAGTAAAAAAACTGAAGTCCAAAAAAAGTTTTTGACAGTTTAAACATATCTGGTGTCTGGGACAGTGTTTCTTCAGAATGACTGGAGTCCTCCCTGGAAAAGGAGCTGGAAAGCGTTGACTGCAGCATTTATCATATGTGATGAGTGTTTATGTTCAAAGCCCTGTTGGGATAGATCAAGTTAGTCTATTGGCATGCAGAAAAATCCTGAGTCAATTTCAGTTTGCTTCTCCTTCTCCATGAAGTTGGAGGGCATATAGTACATCCTAGAAGGAAAGGCTGATACCAGAGAAGTCTGAGAACTAGTAAGGATTCAAAATGATTATTAAGAGTTCTGGCTCAACTCCTAAATGGGCAGTAATTTCATGTAAATTTAGACTCATTTTCCAGGTCCTTGAAAACTCATCAGGCAGCCTCCTAATTCTTTTCCAGGGTTCCATTCCAGGGATATCACTTACACATAGGCACCCATTCACCCACATTAGCTTTGGAAAGGAGAAATAATAATTTGTCAAGACACCCTATTATCCTATGACACGACAATTGTATTATCTATCTATCTATCTGTCTATCTATCTATCTAAATCTATCTATCTATCTATCTATCTATCTATCTATCTATCTATCTATCTATCTATCTATCTATCATCTATAGCAATGACACCGGATGGGTTAAATTCCTGGTTTCCAATGAATCAGTTCCATTCATGTCATTCTCTATTAAAAGTGTATTTACATTTCAAATTATTTTTAATGAGATTTAGAAAGCTTATCTTTAAATCTACAAGATTCTTAAATATTCAGTAGAGTGAAAAAAGCTAGCTCATTTATTGGTCGTGTCTTTAGAGCAAATTTCAAAGAAATCATTGAAGGAACATGTATCTTCTTTCTTCAAAATCATCACAATGTTTTGTGTACATCACAAAAGGGTTTTCTCCAGCCCTACGTGCTTGGAAACTAGTACATGTTATATATAAAGTGGTAACTACAGCTCCCTAGAGCCTAGTCTTTTAGAACAGAGCCATGTGTTATAATAAACAATTCCTGAAGTACCTATCTTGCTTTTGGCAAGCAAATGAACCCCTACAGGAAAGAACTCAGAAGAAAAGTGATTCCTCATCTTGGTATAAAAATGGGCAAGACTTGTTAACAAAAATTACATAAAAACATGGAGAAAATTTGACTCAGAGTTGGAGAGAAGAACCGCTGCAGATTTAAATAGTTGAACTTAAAGCCAAGAAAATGTAGGAGGGGGAGGGGAGGAACTCACACATAGAAGTATTTTTCTAAAAGCTTTTGTTCACTTTATTCATTTCGGTGATTCTGTGGATTACCCCAAAGGCCCTGTCCATGCTAAACACACCCTAGACCACTGAACCATGCCTACTTGCTGCCTCAAGCAAAAATATTAAGAAGCCAGATGTGGTGTGATTATCCTCATAAAATGATCCCTGTTACATCTGTCCATCACTCCTGAAGAAAAAAAGTCAATTGTTTCTGGATTTCATTTATCAAATGCTGGGAGTTTTCTGTTAGTTAAAACCAGACAAACCTAACAATAAAAAACAAAACAAACAAAAACAAGATGGTGATTGTAAAAAAAAAAACACACACACAAACAAACCAGACATCCCAATTGAACCTCTGTATTTGGTGTGGCTAAAACAGTTTGCCAAACCTAATATCTGTAGCCACATGATTTACCATTTATGATGAAGGGTAAATGGAATGAAGGAAAGACAATCACTCCAAAGAATTGACATGATACAACTAGACTTGTGACCTATACACTCGAATTTGCCAACAGCAAATACAAGAAATTGGCTTACCAGAGCTCTGGTGGCTAATGCCTGCAATCCTGACTACTTAGCTGACTGAGATTTCAGAACTGTGATTAGATGTTAGCCCATACTGACAAATCTGTGAGGGATTCTTCTCTCTAGTTCACCAACAAAAAGTCAGAAGTGAAGGCCTGGCTCAAGTGATACAGCACAGCCATGATCAGTCAAAGCATCAGATTCTGAGTTCAAGCCCCAATACTCCTCCCTCCTTCTCCCTCAAATATTCAGACACAGCAGTATTTTAGAAAAATGCCTTTTCAAAACCATTTGACAAGTTTTCTTTAGAACCAGATGCAGGGCAAAGACCTGTTCTTAGGTAAATGATTCCCTTAGATTGCACAAAAAGAATTCTGCAACCCTTTGGTTTCTTTTTCTAGGCTGGTGGGCAGGCTCATAAGTAAGTTTAATTGCTCCTATTTTTTTCCCAGCAGAATTTATTGCTGTAGATTGTTCTTTTATGTCCTGTTAGTTTCATTTTGGTTTCTAAAACTGTTTGCACAGCCTCAATTATTTTCCCCCCTAAGGTGGGTGGCATTTTAAGAAGGTGCAATTATTCAGGGGTTAAAAATATGCCTTCAAGTGGCAATGCATTCCCTTGGCAGTTTGTTTCCTCCCTCTCTATTGTTTATTTATTTGAAGGGAAAAAGGACTAGAAAGCAAAATGACAGCAAATTGAGGGTGAAAGGTTTCTGGAAAATTCCCAGGAACAAACAATTGACAAAACAATGCCCTCTGAAGCAGATAGATCCTCCAGCGAATTATGATTTCTATGTTCAAAGATTTATCGTGGACACAGTTGGGAAGCTATGTTATAGCCAGTTCTTCTTTTAATGTTCAGGCAACAACTGAAATTACAAGTGTCCCCCGGTATGCTGTCGTCACCACCAGATACATGGAAATGTGGATGTGTGTAGGTGAAGTCAAGAGGCCAGAAGGTAAATTTGTCTGGAGTGGAATTAATTAATATGCAGGCGGAAACCTGGGAGAGTTCTTCATTCTGGCTAGCTGCAAACACATTCCCAGATTTCTAGGATACCTATTAAGATCTTGGCATTAAAAATAATTGTCCATACTCATTAACTAGGTCCTAGAAATTAATTAGCTCAGTAGTTGGAAGATTACCCTTTAGGTAGAATACAAAGGTCTTGGGCCATTTACCTTCAAATGAATCATTTGCGTGCGGAAATCATTTGGAGGAGAGAAGAGCTGCTGCCTCAGAATCATGTTCATTTTTTTTTTTTTTTGCTGGTTATGGGGCTTGAACTCTGGGCCTGGGCACTGTCCCTGAGCTCTTCAGCTCAAGGCTAGCGCTCTACCACTTGAGCCACAGAGCCACTTCTGGCTTTTTCTGCTTATGTGGTGCTGAGGAATCAAACCCAGGGCCTCATGCATGCAAGGCAAGCATTCTACCATTGAGCCACCTTCCCAGCCCCTCATGTTCATTTTTAAAGGCAAGGGGATAAATATCATCAGCCTTAATAGATAGCAGGGGTGTATAGTGTGTTAAATGAGCTTTTAGTAACTGGCTGGGAACTGGACTCAGAGTTCCATTCTTGCATGAGGTGACAACAGTGAATGGCTCACCAAAAAGCACCACGTTCAGTCTCTAGCATCTCCTTGCCTAGGGCACTGCACTATCACCCAGCCTCCCTTTCTGTCTAGGGTCCCATTGGTTGGGGTCTGGGGATAGAAGACCAAACAGGAACTCCTCCCACTCGTCCATCAATGAAAACACCTCCTGTGTGTGGCTGCGTCCTACAGTTCTGAGCCTTGCTTTGGACATCATCTTTTGTCCTTTCAGTCCTGCCCAGGCCTTGCTAACTGGTCCTATGTTATGTTGTCTTTTTATCTGAACCATGAGGGTTACAGAGTTAGAACAAATCGGAAATGGGTTTGATCTCCCAGGCTATGTCTGGATTCTTCCCAGGAGGCTGCTGGGTGGGAAGAGAAGCAGGGGAGATTAATCAGTACCCACAGGCCTCCACTGACTACTGAGAAGTGCAAGGTCAAGGGCATTTCAAGGTAGCCTAGCTACTGCTGCAGAATTCTCTACTAGTATCCACCAAAGACACTCATGCAGTCCATGTGGTCATAAAAGAGCTTTTCTTGTAATTTAACCAAGATTTTTGTTGCTGTTGTTGTTTATTGATGTTGTTGTTTTAAATAACAATTTGATGAGGGGGTGAGGAGATTCCATAAAGATATGGCAAGATCAAAGTCCAGGCTTCATTCTGTCAGCAGAATTTTCCTTGCACAGGGCTAAAAATATACATAAATTAGAGGAAACACACGGAGGGAGATGTGGGGGGGGGGGTTGTGAATGAACTGGTGTGAACAACATCCTTCGTCTTTCATATTTATATTATATATATATATATATATATATGTATATGTATACATTACACCCGAACAAGATAGTCACTTGTACCATTTCCCAGGGAGACAGGATACCTCCAAGACAAGGCAAGGGGCAGGCATGGAAGGGTTCAGCCAAAGAGCGGGGCTGGCTGGGGGCTGGGGTCACAGAAGCTGCAGGAGCTTCAGCGATTGTAAGAGCGCTCCTGGTTCTGCGGCTGCCAGGTACTGGCAGCAAAGCCAGTCCTCCAGCTCCACCCCGCGCCTGCGGTCCACCGCCTTCTCGGCAAACTTCATCATCATCAGGGCCCGCTTCATGTCGATCCAGTTGTGAAGCGTGCTGCACAGCGCCTCCTCCGAAGTGGCCGGCTGCTCCACCAGCTCGCGCCGGGGCCCCCACAGCAGACACTGCAGCACGCGCTTGGCCTCGCCGATGCGGATGCGCTTGATGGGGTCGGCCTCGAGCAGCAGGTGCGCCAGCTGCTGCAGGCCGGGCGAGTACAGGGACAGGGTGGGCAGCGGGGGCAGGTCCTCCCGCCGGTAGTCCTGCTCGCGCAGCTGGGCCCGCACCTCGAACGGGTTGGGCTGGTGCAGCAGCTCGTAGATCAGGATGCCGGTCTGGAACTCGTCGAACTTGCGGTACTGGGAGGCAGACACGATCTCGGGGGCCAGCCGGGCCTGGCTCTTCTTCTGCTGCAGGTTGGAAGTGCCACCGGGTTTCTGCTTGGCCTTCAGGAAATTGCTGATGATGAGCCTGGGTAACTGCTTCTCACCAGGTGCTGCCTGGCAGGCGGGGACGGCTGCAGGGCCAGGAGGGCCACTGGCCGGGGCCGGGGTAGGGATGGTAGTAGGGGCGAGTGGGGCAGGGGAGGCCGAGGGCAGCCCCGGAGAGGCCTGGGGGCTGCAGTGTACCAGCAGCAGGTTCTCCAAGCACAGGTCCCGATGGATGATGCCGTGCTCCTTGAGATGCTCCAGCCCGTTGCACAGCTGTAGGAGCAGGAAGCACACGCGCCTTTCGTAGACCTCGGGCTCTGCGCTGTGGCTGGCGACCGAGTCCCGGACAAAGTCGGAGGCTGTCTGGTGGGGCACCTCTCGGGTGATCACTACCACGCAGTCCTGCTCCTGGGAAGGGAGGTGGGAGGGGAGGGCAGGTAGAGGGTCCTTGGACGCGTCAGGGGAGGTGAGCATGCTGGAGGGCACCGACGCCACAAAGTGGCCGCAGTCCTGCTGGATGTTGAAATGCACAGGCACAGAGGGGCTGCAGTAAGAGGCTGTTTTGGGCTCAGGGGTTTTGCAGATCTGTGGGGAGAAGGAGAAGAGTCAAGAGGGAGATCGATGGCTCTGTTCATGGTTTTGTTCCACAGATGTTGGGACATTTGGTATCCATGTGCAAAAAGGCAATAGAAACCCCTTACCTCACACGGTGCATAAAAGGCAACTCAAATGGGACCGAATAAACTTTCAGGGCAAGAACTAAAACAGACAAACTCCAGACGAAAAAAATTAGAAGAAATCTAAAATAGCTGAGGCCTAGAGTTGGGCAGTGATTTCTAAGCTATCACATTCAAAGTATGGTCTATATAAGAAAGAAATCCATAAACTTGATCTCATAACTGAAAACTTTTGTGCATCAAAAGACAACTTTCAGATACTGTAAAGATAAGTATCACACTGGAACAGAAAAAAAAAAGCAAAAAAGAACAACACACAAAACTAAAACAACTTCTTACAACTTGGTCATGCAAAAACAGCCCAAAGGCAAACATAGAGACAATACATCAAAAAAAAAAATCTTCTAGTGGCTCTAAACAAGTGACAAGATGCTCAGCACGTCATCCCAGATCATGTGAAACCTAATCCATGAATGAAAGCATTCATTAAGGAAATTAAAAAAAAAATCAATACCACAATGGAAGAACTTCTACCAAGTAAAACAGACAGCAAGACATGCTTGTAAGTATCGATGAGATTGTGGAGGAACAAGAACCCTCATACATTGCTGGTGAGTATGCAAAATGGTATAGCCACTTTGTAACAATTGGACTAGTTCTAAAAAGTTGAACGTAAAATGACCAATGGTCCAGGGAGGGAGGAGCCCCTGTGAACAGTAAGCAGTGTGGGTCTGTGGTATGGTAGCAAGGCAGCCCTCTGCCCATAGAGTGCATTATAGAAATTCACCATCTGTTTCTGCAAGAATTGGCCTCACTCCCCAGACCTCTCACCTGAGGCAGGGGCCACCTGACGATGAATGAGTTTCACTTCTGTGATGATCAGAACTACAGTGGGGCTGTAGACCATGTTAGTTCCCTCATCTCTTAGGCTGTCTTACTTTCTAGACCTAGGCAAATACACCATCCCTACTGGCTGGTAATGACCTGCAAAACTACACACTCCTCCAAAGGTGAATCAGGATAGCTGCTGACTCTCTAGGGAATAGATAAACTATGGTGCCCTGGGCACCCAATGAGCCGAAGGAAGCAGTAAACAAGATAGATGATCTCAGGCTCCTCTAAGGAAAGGATGCCTGGTGAATCACACAGCTGGGTCCTCTCCATCTCTCCTGCTTGTGCTAATGACAGGGCCAGCCACCTGTGCCACACGAATCATCATCCAGCTGCTATTCAGCTGGAAAGTCCAGAGCCAGCCCTGAAGGCGCTCTCTAGGGCCTCAATTTCCCTGTAATTACACAGGTCAGGACTGAAGATGGTTAATAGTCTCTTTGTCTCTGTCTCTCCAACAGAAATTATGCAAGAGATGGACTTGGGTTTAAATATCAATTCTGTGACCTTTGGGAAGTTACAGGAGATTCTTATTGTTTAAAGTATCTCCAATCTAGGCAAGTAGCTGCAAATACAAAATTAGCATTCAGGCTTCATAAAGGCAACTGTCTGGGTATAATCTTGTAAAGAACACACCTCCCAATTTCCAGTGAACTTCCAGTTACCACTCTAAGCCCCTTCAGGCTGAGGGTGCCAGCAGTGTTTACAAAGTGCCACAATCCTAAAAGCTGGTGGTTTCACAAGTCCTGTTATACACACCTTTTCAGAAATCCATTTATATTGTACCTACTGGTGTGAAATCTGGCACTAAAGAGTTTGGACTCTGAGCAAAGTGTTTGAAAACTGAATTAGGGGGAAGTAAATAGGGAACATTAATTTAGTAACCTCTCTATAGTGGAACCAGAACAGAGATAGAAAAGGAAGCATATTTACCCCAGAAATTGCTTGCCATGACATTAGCAAACATGATCTTGGAATACATGTGGAAATGGTATTGCTAAAGGCCCCCTATGTGTATGTAGTTGTTTTTGTTGGTGGTGTTGTTGCTGAACTGGAGTTTGAACTCAGGGCCTCACATTTAGTAGGCAAGCACTACATCACTTGACTACCACCCTTTTGCTTTAGTTACTTTTCAGATAGGGTCTCAAACTTGTCTATAGGCTAACCTCAGCACAGGATCCTCCTTGAATAGCTGGGATTGCGTGCCCATCTTCTTTCTTTCTTTATTATTTAGTTATTTATGCTATGAATGGCTTCCATCCTTCTATTTCCACCTCCTGTGTGACTGGGATTGCAGAGTGTATGCTACCACACCTGCCTTGTCCTTAGTCTTCTAGAACTATCAAACTAAAAGAAATTTGGGAGTATGCATCTTCAAAAGGAATCATATACAAATATTTACTTGCTGGCCAGCCACCATCTGTTGTGCCACCTGGAGACAGCGGAAGAACATCCCTAGGACCCTGTCACCCACACCTGCCACACTGGACTCCTGCTGTGCCACTATGCAATTTTCACAGGATGTCTCATTTAATCTCATGAAACCCAACTCTAATAGGAGAGGATCTTAGAGATGATTTACCTATGACTAGACAACTGGAAAGTGTTCCATGGGCTTCAGGATGCAAACGACTTGGCCTTCAATATCAACTCTGTAACCTTTGGCAGGTTACAGGAAATTCTTACTATTTAGAGTAGCTCTGTGCTATTAAGTATCTATAAATACTGAATTATCAAATATTGAACCAATGCTCTTAGGGGAAATACAGAGCCAGGTTTCTGTGAATCTCTGGTCACAATACTTTCATCAAATCATTATTACATGACCTTTTATGTATGTGTCTGTTTTATTTAATATATACTGTTGACATTGAATAAACAGCCAAAATGCTATTTATTATCTATAGTTTTTTTGTAAGGCCCGCACAGCCCTGTGCCTCATGAACATAAGCACTTTAGTACTCCGCTTGGAGTTCATTTCAAATAACAAAATCCAACCAAACGCATACAAGTTATGAGAAGCAGGGCACTAGGTACATCATAACAAAGACCCTTAAACCAGGCATTGGTGGCTCAGTAGGTAATCCTAACTACTCAAGAGGCTAAGATCTGATGATCACAGTTCAAAGCCTGGGGTAGGAAAGTCCATGAGACTCTTATGTCCAATTAACCAGTAAAAAGCCAAAAGTGCAGCTATGGCTCAAATGGTAGAGTGCTAACCTGGAGTGGAAAAAAACTAAAGGACAATGACCAGGCCCTGAATTCTTGTTCCAGTACTGACTGGCACCATAAAACAAAACAAACAAACAAACAAAAACAGGACCCATGGTTCCAGTATGTGGCCTAAAACAAGACCGAACATCTCTCAATTCCACTCAGTTTCTTTCTTATCCAGCACTTGTCCCCAGAGGGCTGAAAAATGATTTGAGGATCGTTTTGTGGGTTATAGGTGTATTTTGTGGGCAGATGACTATGCAAATTTGGAATCCATTAATAAGAAAGATCTTGGTATTTATCTTAAAGTCTATTTTCTCCTCTGTTTAACTAGGTAGTTCCTGAGGGAGCCAGTGGGGATGGAAAAAACAAGGCAGTGGGGTGCTCTGCATCATGTCAAGCCTCTGGAGAAGGCTTTGTGGAAGAGGTTGCTATGGAGACTGCTCTGGCTGTTTCAGCTGTAGCCATGTGGTGGTGCTGAGTGATCTAGAGATGGCTAGCAGGTATTATACAACCCCAGTGTGCAGCTGTGAGGTCCTGGGAAAGGTTTCCAAGATCTCCTTTCTTCTGGGATATGAAAAGCCTGGGCCAGAGGTCTGCTTGAGCGCCTGACAATTTGCACTGAGATGTAAATGAAGGAGCAAGGTAAAATGGCAACCTGGCTGGATGCATTTCAAAATCAGCAAGTGAGCAGGGCCTCTGGGAATGGCCACAGTGTCATACCAGCTTCCACTGGGGAATGCTTTGTGAGGAACATTTAAACTAGCCTGGGAGCCCTGGGAAGGGCATTCTGAGATCACCAGACAGCGTACAGTGCTGGGTGAAAGCTAGGAGGATGGAGAAAGAGAGAGGGTGGTCTCCTTTCATGTCCCTAAAAACTAGCACACACGATGGCTCTCATTTCTCGGGATCCCTGCCCTAGTTTTTGGCTTTAAAACTTTACACAGAACTTTGGCTCAGTTCAAATTGCAAACTTTTTGTGGAGCTAAGTTTCATTTTAAACTCTAGAGCCAGGGTCTTTTTGAAGGATGAAAATCTGGGCTAAGTCATGTCTGTTACATTGAGAGAGAGAGAGAGAGAGAGACAGAGAGACAGAGAGACTTAACACTAACACAGGTCTCTAATAACGAACTGGAGTTTTAGATGGCTGGAAGATAAAACTGGCTCCCCAAATGCACACAAGCTAATTGTGCTCCCCCTTTTTGCCTCTTGAAGTCAGGCTACAAGAAAGAGCTCTGAGCTTGCGCACACAGCAGTTCCAGCACACAGCAGTTCCAGCATGACGGAAAGCAGGTGCCAGCTTGCTATTGTTCGCTGGGACTTTGCAGCAAGGCTGCCTCTGATTTCATTGCCAACTCCCTGCTTAACATGCGCAGAAGAAATGAGCTCTGGGGCACACAGACCTCCACTGGGAAGGAGCTCCACTCCCTCTCTTGTGGGCTCCCAGGTGACTGGATTCCGTCTAGACTGGAGTGCTAATGAAGTGGAACTGTAGCAAGTGCACAGTATCGCTCAGATCCTTCCCCCCTCCCAATTACCAGGCCAGGCACATTTGCAAATTGTTATTGTCTTTCCTGGTAATCTCATTTCAAGATTACCATACCCTTGAGTATTTAATATGATTCTCCAAACTGCCTTTTTCACATGGTGTAGTGACGGTCCTGGAGCTAGTAAGTCTCTAGAAAAATTAAAATAGGAAACCCCTAGGCCTCACTTTTGTGGCGACTAAGACTTACCTTCTTGCTTCCTCATGGCTTAGGCTTCTAATGAAATAAGAAACACTGCTTGCTTCTCATGTCTCTGGGGAGGCTGAATTTCTTTGCATTGTGTATTGGGGAATATTGCTACTTCTATGTTATTAAATGAGGCCCTGAAGTCCTACTTGCCCAGCACAATCATTGGTGAATATTAAATCCTATGCCACATATTTAGGGTCAGGGCCAAGTATCTTGTGCCAGGTTTCCTGATTCCTTTGTTCTTATAAAAGACCCATCTATTTTAACTACTGACTAGCTACTAATCACTTTGAGCCCCAAATATCCATCTGTAAAACCTACCTATTCTGTAGGACTACAGGTAACATGGCTAACACACCCAGCCAAGAATTTAATTGTATAGTGAATGTCAGTAAATGTTAGCATTGCTTCCATTGTTCAAGGCCCATGCGTAGGTCTAATGATCCTTCTAGCTCTAACACTTGAAGAAACACTTGATTATCCATCTCCCTTATTAGATCAGAAGCTCTGTATGGAATCTTATGTTCACCTTTATACCTTCAGATTTTCACAAAATACCTGACATAGACCCTCAGTGAATAAATGCTGAATAAATGCATCAATTATGTTTCACTGAAAGGTAGATATTTTCCTATTGAAACTAGACCCCACAGGTTCTTTCCTGGAAGCACAGAACACGTCTGATAACTCATACTACAAGTCTCATCTCACCCTGTCCTGGGACAGGCAGAGAGTGAAACTGTCAAGCAGGAAGCATTAACAGCCCTCCTCGAATGGAATGTCTGGGCAAGCGCAATGATTCACTCTGGCTAGGACCAATGAGGAATGCTGCAGAATGGAGGAAGGGGTGTGCGTACTTACTTTCACAGCATAAGTGCTGCCAGGGTCCTCCGAGCAGGTGGCACAGTAATAAATAGCATCTCCTGAGTCACAACAGGGCTTGTTACAGGTCAGCTTGAAGAGTGACCAGTTGTTTTCATTGAAATGCAGTTCCCTTTTCTGGCCACCCATGAAGAGATCTTCACATTTGGCTACGAGACGGGCCAGGGACTGAGTGTAGAGTCCCCCCAGCTTGGCATAGGTGCCCTCTTTGCTGCTGATGCTGTTCAGGAGGCTGTGTAGCTGGAGCTGGGTGCTGCCAGAGGAGGCCTGGCTGGCCACACTCAGCTGGGAGGATGACGTGGTCACAGCCACTGTGCATTGGAAGTTGGGATTCACACAGTCGCTTTTGGGGCTAGCCAGTCCTGAGGCTGGGACCCAGTGGCCGTTGCCTTTGAAAGCTTTCTCTAGAGGCTCAGATGAGGAGAAGACATGAGGGTGGCGGTTCCCAGAGCTCAGGGAGTAGCTAAAGGGAGCATCATCGTGGACACAGACGTTGGTTTCTGAGTGGCTTAGGTTCAGCTTGGGGCTTGCAGTTCGCGGCTTGGGGGAGCCTTGGGTCCAGAAGAAGCCATCTGGTGAAGAGGCTGCCCGGCTCACTATCTTTTTCTGGGGGAGTGGAGGAGGTTGTGCAGGGCCACTGGGGCACACATCCTCAGTGGAGCCCGAAGGGAATGGGACAGGAGCAAAAAGCTTCTTCCCACTGATTGTGGGAGAATGTGTTGGCTCATATGATGGTCCTGGAAAGGAGAAGCAGAAACTGTCAGGTTAGGGGTCAAAACAACTCAGGCCTAGATCCTGCATGCCTTTTATTTTTCTTGGTCAAAGCAATTCATTTTCTTTAACATGTTTTATTTCTTTTTATTTATTTATTTATTTTATTTGTGAACATACTGTACAGAGGGGTTACAATTACATGGGCAGGATAATGCGTACATTTCTTACCAAGCATTGCAGCCTCCTCCTTTGTTTACCCTTCATGTTTTATTTCTTGAATAGGAAAATACATACACAATGGACATAGCTCAAAAGGCCAAGAAGGTACACACTGACATTTAAATCTCTGTCTCTAATCATCAGAGGACGCTGCCAGCTATTGTGCGTGCATCCCAACAACCCAAATAAACGTGCATATGTGTGCACTCCCCACACACATTTCCACTTGACACTCATTGTTTGCAGTATTGCTTTTCTTTTACATTCCAGAGATTTCTTTTCAAGGGTATAGATCTAGCTACTTACTTTTATCTATCATAATCATATACAATCATATGTAAGTATTATAATTTAGTTAGACGCCTCCTGATGGACACTTAGGTTTTCGCTAACATTTTGCAAAGCAATGCTGTAACTGCAATAGCAAACTTACACATGTATATTTGGATGCTTTTTTTCAAAGGCAGGTTTATCTAAAGTAAGATATCCCCCTTTTCAAAGTGTAGATCTTTACTTGTTTTCACAAACATTTGCTAGCTAAAGGACTGGGCAATTCTACATACATTTAGGAGGCAAGGTTTGTGATTTTTATAAATGAAGAAATAGATCTAGGAGAAAGTGAGTCTTTCCAACGTACCAGATTCCCAAAGTTGGGCACAGGGGAATAGAGCTGGATTGTGAAGGAGATTCTGTCAGGGCCACAGGCTTCTGTAGATTGTGAGAACACTCAACTAATTTGTGTAGGCAGGACACACATGTTGAGATGCAAGCCTGGTCTATAAAAGGTAAAGGCTGGTCCACTATGTACGAAATGGAGATTTCATCATGAGATGAAAGTTTAAGTTTAAAATATACATACAAAAACCTAGAGTGGTGACACATCCTTCTAGACCAAGCAACTCAGGAGGTAAAGGCAGGATAATCAAAAGTTCAAGGCCAGTTGGGGCAAGGTTAGCAACATCCTACTTCAAAAAGAAAATATAAACCAGAAAAAAAAGGGCTGTTGAGTGAGCATTTTCCTTAGCAGATGAAAGGCCCTGGGTTCAAACCTCAGCACCACACATGCAAAATAATTTAAAAGAGCCAGGCACTGGTGGGCTCATGCCTGCAAGCCTAAGCTATTTTGGAAGCTGAGCTCTGAGGACCATGGTTTGATGCCAGCTCAGGCAGGAAAGTCTGTGTGATTCCTATGTCCACAAAAAGATGGATGTGAAGCTGTGGCTCAAGTGGTAGAGAGCTAACCTTGAGCACAAAAGGTCAAGGGCAGCCATTCAGGCCTAGAGTTTAGGCTCTGGAACCAGCAATAAATAAATGAATAAATAAAATATGCATAAAGAGATACAGTCTACTGCTATGCCACCCTAACTATGCCCAATCTCATCTATCTCAGAAGTAAAGAAGCGTTGAGCTGATTCATACTTGGATGGAAGAAGAGAGACATAGACAATTGGAGAAAGGACAGTATTATGTGGCCCCTTTATTCTAAGAATTGGCTTCGATGCCTGTACTATTTTATTCTATTATTCTATTTAAGTATTTATATAAAGGAGTTGTCATTTAACAAAGCACTTTATGAATGCATACCATCTTGATCAATATCACCTCTTCAACATGCTTACCCACCCCAACCCCTTTCCTCACTCTTCTTAATTTTATAGGATATACATTGCATTGTGAACTTGCTCTACTTTTCATTTGTCTACTCTTTTTTCCTAGACCCTGGCCCACCCCCTTTCAAATACCCATTTCTTGGTGTTTATTTTTGTTGAACTTTGGTCTTTTTAAAGGAATTGCACTATTTTAGTTCTCCCTTGAATCTACCATATCTTGAATCTACCCTTCAGTTACTTTGTAGACGTGCATACCACCTAATGTATTTACTCACACATTTATAAGCTAGTTTCCACATATGAGGAAAAATATATCTTTGTCTCTGATTTACTTCATTTAAAATAGATTTTAAGAAAAGTAATGTTCATCATATTCTCATGTTATAGAAGGCATCTTATTATCCTGTAAGTTACAGTATTAAGAGAAAAAGGTCCAGGAAGTGAATCTTCACTATGATTATCCCTCAATGAGCCCACTGCTATAGCCCCTGAAAAGTTGGGCAGGCAATACATTCTCTGTACCTCTCCAGTCTTAGCCATGACAGCAGAATAAAGAAGTACATTCAGCACACAGGCCTGATAAAAGGGGTATAGAGCTACAAGGGAAGCTCCTAGTCCTGCTCCTAATTTGGTGATCCCTCTCCATGCCCTCACCAAGCCCTTCTTGCTTTCTCCAGCCCATATAGGGCAGGACGGGCCCTGGGGAGACAAAACGCCAACAATGAACTGCCCAGATCAACACTGGGTCTCCAGGCTCTCTATGGAGCAGGAAAGATAACCATAGACTCTGAGCTCCACCTGACTCTGTGCAGTTACATTCCTGACCCAGTCTCATTGACTGGAGCTGTATCAGTGTGTGATTGACCTCAGGGCCCCCTACCTAGTGCAGCCCTGATTGTTAAGCTCAGCAGATAAGACTGGTATGTTCAGCCTGTTGAACACAAGAGCTGGGCATCAGTGGGATTCAGTAAAGAGAAGCTCCCTGTGGTGGCACAGGCCCCACACCAATACCCTCTTTGTCTCTCAGCTGACCCAGGAGAGTTCTCTGACTTGCCCATTCCAGCATGTAGAACAATCGCTCTAGCTCCCCAGTGCCTAATCAAGATCATAGCGGTAGTCCTCTCCACCTCATTTTGCTTTGCAAATGGTAAGGTGGGTTCCCACCAGTAAGGCTGAATAAGTAATCTCTGTCCCTTCCTGGAGGGCTTGGGTTAATAATGAATCAAGCAATCTGGGCATAGTCAAAATCAGTGAGCTTTACATCCTCAAAAAAATTTCCCTTCAGAGAGGAGTGGGTGTTTAAGAAACAGCCAGGTGGAGGCCAGAAGACATTGCTGGCTGCTGCCTTCTGCAGGTTCTGCAATCCGGGAGTCCAGAGCCTTGATCTCACACTCAGAAAGCTCCTCTGCTCCCAAGGGCTCAGCCAGTAATGCAGATGGTAAAAGACAGACAGGGCAGACAATTCATTTCCTCTCCTTCTAGCAAAAAAGGCTGAGAAAAGGAAGATTTGCTGCCTGGCTTCTAGCCCTGCCCTACAGAGGTGTATGAGGCTAATTTTTTTCATTACCAGAGCAGAGACTGGAGGTAAGACTGAAATGAGGAAGGGTCTGAGTGACTGGTCCATGCTTTTAAAACTTTATTGAGATTTGAATCAGGAAAGTTACATTTGGTGGGATTTACCATTTAAGCCACATCTTTAGCCTTTGTTTGTGTTGTAATTTGATTTTCAGATATGATCTCTTTCTCTTTTGGGGAACATGGGAAGCTGGAAGTCTTGGTAGGACCTACCCTTTGCTCAAGTTTCTCTCTAACCCTGATACTCAGTTTCCACCTCCAGCCTAGTCGTCGCTTTGTTTGTTTGTTTTCTTATGTTTTAAAGTCCTACCATTGGAGAGGTGACACACAGAGGGGTTATAGTTACATAAGCCAGGTAATGAATACATTTCTTTTTGAACAGTGTCACTCCCTACCTTATTTTCTCCTTATTTTTATTTTTTCCTTCCTGACTGTCTTCCCCTTGCCAAGTTGTAGTTTATTTCCTACATAGTGTATAGTGAATATCACTATTGAATTGGTTCACCCTTTATCTGTGCTTCCCCTTCCCCTCCCCAAGTCAGATAAACTTACACATAAGACAAAAAGTACAGAAACCAAAAGTAGCAGCAAAAGAGGAAGGGGGAACAGGAAAAAAAGAACCACAAGCAGTACAATTTTAAAAACCTTTTGTTTCCATTTCCTGGACTTCATTTCAATAAGCATCATTTTATATGATCATATGCACATGGATATTGGGCACTTGGGATCCTCTCCTAAGAATATCCTCCTTTGGTCTCACTGTGTGAATAAATTCAACAAGATTCTGTCTAATTATTGAATCTATTTATCATGTCCAAGTGTAATTTTTTTGTCTTTTACTATCCATTGGGTTTACTTGTAGATTTATAGGCATATTCTAATTATTACGAATGAGGGAAACCATGTAACCTATGTTTCTTTGGGTCTGGCTTTTTAATTAGTGACTCTGGGGATGGGCAGCCTGCTTGGGGTCAGAACTCTTAACTCATTCCCAGTACATCTTGCAGGGTGGTGGTGATAGAGTGTGTTCTAACACACCATTGTCTTAGCTGGTCCCTTCTTTAAGCTTTGAGCTGCATTGGCCTCTTTCTCTTTAACATCTCCAGATGTTAGTAATGTGTCCCCTTCTGCTTCTACCCAGCCCAGAAAGCCAGTGGCAGAGGGATCTTTAAGTAGCCAGCCACATTGTGGAGCTGCATTTCCTCATTTACAAAAAGGATTGCATGACTGGCCTTTTCCAACACCAATAATTTCATCCATTCTCTCTGTTTGCAACCTCTCTGAACATGTATTCTGTATGCAAGGTGCTCCCTACCAAAGCATATCTAGGCAGATGCCTACCTTGCTTCTACACCCACTCCCTCCATCGCTAGTTCCATCTCTAGTTGGCCACTTCTAATCTGGAAGGATGGTGAGGACTTTCTGTAGGAAATAATTCACTATGGTTCTTATTCCTTAGATCACCAAGTAGGCTATAGACCTTAGGGCAGGGCTCAATACAGGAACTGTATCCCAGCTGCTGGAGAGAACTGATTGTTCCTTTTCTCTCTGTAGTGTCCATGTACCTCTCTGGTGGGAACCGAGTAACTTTGATTAGATCCAAAAATCATTACTACTTT